ACAAAATGGAAACCAATTGAATGGTTGTGCAAGGCATCAGTAACAATTAATTGCTACACATGCAGATTCACTTAACCTTTGTTTATGTAAGTGTTTGGATGTAAAATAGTATAGATTTTTTTTCCCCTGAAACATGAACTACATTCAATAACAAAGAAGAAAACGAGAGCTGCTGAAAATTGGACAGACATTTGATTGCAGCCAAGATCGCCGATAACTGTGCAGAAATTTTTCTATTTGTTTTTATGTAATTTACACTTGTCTTCATTGGTATAAGTGAATATTAAGTAGTTTTTTGTGTGTTAGAGCTGCACAATGCCTTGAATCACAGTTGTCATCGCAGTTTTAATGTGTGAAACTTCACAGGCCCAAAAGACTGCTCTGATGCGGAATTAGTTTTTTTATTATATTTGAAGTGTCATGAATTCAACTTCAGCCTGCAAAAAGATACATTTAATCAGTTGGCTGGAGGCTCATTGTGCCTAATCTCCAAATACAATGTGAATTTTAGCGGCTGAGATGTTTAAGATCACGTCAGGTGTTGGGGACATTGTGATGATTTAAAACAATGATGAGTAAAGTTTCTAATAACTTATGGAAGTAAAACTTTATGAGACACTGAGCTGTTTGCTGCTTTGCATCAAGTACGAAATTAGACTGGACTTACACAGCAGATCTTTATGCTCAATTTCAGTCGTTCATGTCGTTAATTAAACCCGACCACAGTGAGACTTCTGTGTGAAAGATTTATGACCCCAAATCGACCCACATGTGCAGAAGAACGACGATGACGTCACACAGCAGCGCGCTCTTTACGGAAGTAAAACGCCGTCTGTGGATCGATTTTAGAGTTTATTCAACAAAGAAAGCCGAAAGTATCGTTACAAGATCATAACACAAATAAAAAAAGCTACGGTTTTTTGTGCAGCATTGACTGCAACTTTTGTAGAGAAGTTTGTTTGGGTGTGTAGTAAGAGCCAGGAGTAAGAGTGGAGTGATGTGCTTCAGTGACAGGCTTCTTTTCCAAGTTGTTAATCATAATTTTCATACATTGTTTACATCAATGACATGAAAGTCGGATAAAATGCACCATCACTGTTCAGACTGAAGACACTTTGAAACAATGGGATATGTGTCCTAATTGATCCCACATATGGAAATGGCACAGATTGGAATTTTTTGGGGTGAAAAGATCAGAATTGGGCCGGTCAGACTGCGGTGAAAAAGCTGAATATGGGTCACATTTGGGCAAAAGAAGAAACATCCTGATTTGGGCTGCATTTGCCTGTTGTGTGAATGTTACCTTACAGTTGGAAATTGACCAACTGGTGTCTGAATTCTCAGTTTTAGCTTGGCTTCCGGTTTCAAAGTTTGCATTCATCTTGTCCTTCTTTACTCCTTCTTTCTTCACCAACTTTCCCCTCCTCCCTCTCTGTTCTGTCTTTCCGTCCCTCCGTCTGTCCCCCCTAGCCCCCCGTCCGTCCTTTAGTCTCACTGAATGGGTCTGCAGAAACCGCCGTTCGTTTGGCCACTTTCCGCCTAAGCCACAGCACACTAAAAAGCTCTCAGGGCAGAACCAAAGACCTTGACTGCTTTTTGAAGCAGGCTGTCGCTGTATAATCAGTTAGCTTCTCTCAGCGGAGGGGGCAACACACACACATCTACACACACACACACAGCATAAGAGGCAGGCAGCCCCTCATTACCGGGCAGAGCCCTGGTCCCTGAGGACTGGACCCAGCACCTAATCCTGTATTTGTTCTTGGGGACTGTATCTGTGATTCTCCATTGAATGGAATATTAAGCACCCAGGTCTTTTGTGGAGCGTGTAAGCCATTTGGCTCCACTCATCTATTATTTATCAGCCTGGCAAATATTTTATCAGCCTTAGCCTCTCATGACCCACTCTCATGTGAAGCTCTCCTCTAAATGAAGAAAAAACGGGGGGTTATTATTTTTTTTTTCTTTTCAATTTATCTCCCGTTTTACTTTTTGCCTCATTTGTTCTAAAACCTGGACAAGGACACAGGGATTTGTATTAATCTAAGAGTTTTGAGAAGCAAATATGTGAACTATTCCTGTGGAGTTCCTTCCAACTTCCTTTATCTAAGGAAGCACACTGTTGCCTCCATCGCTTTGTAGATAACAAGTAAAAGAGGAGCACAATCTAGATTTGCGTTATAAATCATAATCCAAGTTTCGGACTCCCTTTCCCAGCCAGCTCCCCCGAGCCCAGCCACCCAGCCTGAGCCGGAGCGAGCGAGAGAGAGAGAGATAGAGAGAGACTTGTTTTCACTTTCAACCTGAGAGTAAATCATGCCAGTTGGGGGGCTCACCTTGAGGCCTGGTGGAGATAATTGGAGTTGGTTAGCGAGGTGTTCTGTGCCATTACCTCCTGGTACCAGCGAATGGCTGGGGCTTGTCTCGCGCTCCCAGAGGAGGAATACACCCGCCTGTTGGCTCCTCACTCAGCGTGCGTGTGTGTGTGTCTCAGCGTAGGTCCGCAGGCAGATCGGTGACCCCTCTTCATCACGATTTAATGGCCCCTTACGAGACGGAAGAAGGGTGTGATGGTTTTGATAGCCCTTCTTTTCGCCGAGCGCACTCAGTTCAGCTTATTAATATTCATCGCATTGATTTATTTTCAGAATTAACAAAAAGAAAAAGAAAAACAAAGTGTTTGCCAAGAAATTAATCCTGACAGGAGTGTGGCATTGTTGTTTCATTTTCAGACAGCAGGAAGCAGGAATATGCATATGCAGATACACAGAGCAAGACACCAATTAAATGTTGATTAAGTCTTAAGTATTGTGGGACTCTGTGTGAAAGACAATAAGAAAGAAAATCATTGCTTTTTGTTTGCCGGCTGATATGAAAAATGAATGCAGTTAAAACAAACGGAGGAGGGATGAGGGGGGGAGGCTGGACGCACAAACACATGAATGCTTCTTTTTTTTCTGAGATGCCTGAGCTTCATCAGAGGGTGTATTTGGACGCCCCCCACACCCTCCTCGTCTTTTTCTTCATCTCTTCCTCCGGCTGCGGTTGTTTTCAGCCACCGCGCTCTCCGGCTTTTGGCCGGTCAATTGTGACACTCTGCGTGTCAGCGAGCAGGGGGGGTCTCCTGGTAGCTGTGCGTGTGTGATAGTGTGTGTCCGCTTCACACTTTGGCTGTGAAGCTGCCGCGGTATAACGGCGGCTGCTGCTGCGGGGGTCCCGGCGGTATTGGCCTAGCCCGCAGTCTCTCTTGGCTAACTCATGTTTCATTCTTTGGCAATTTGCCCTAATGAAGTCCCGCAGGAGCCCCTCAGACCTCTGTTCTCTTTCCATATTTAATCATGTTATTTTAATCTGGGGGATGAGCTAACGCCTCTGTCTCCTGCTGCGTCTCTCTGTGTATGTGTGTGAGTGTGTGTGTGCTGCAGGTCATTACTATTGCTGAGTTTTTGTGACATGTCATGTCAGGAAAGGAGGGGGCCGCTTGCTTTAAGACAATGGGAGACGATGACTTTAATTCTGAGTGTAATATTGGTTTGACAATGTAAAAAGGCTCTTTGAAAAGCAGTGTCATCCTTACATGATTGCGGCTCATTATTTGTTAAAAACGAGGTTAATTATTCCATTTTTTCCCCAGTCATTTCTCAGTTTTTCTCAGATTTTTATGGCTGCTGTCAGGGATGTTTTTGCCTTTCTTTTGTTGTCTTTTTTCGTGCAGGTCACAGCACAAAACCCCTCTTCGATAGAAATACTCTGATTTCATGGTTTTCTCATTTTTAATAGAAAAACAGATTTGCCTTTTGACAAATGTTTCCTTACATTAGATCAAAATATTTTCCCCACTTTATACCGATCTCTTTTCTCCTCTGTTGTCTCTTTCATCAGGGTCAAGGAAACATCCAGCCTGCTTGTTTAGCTTTTATTTATCATCTCAATTTTTCAATGACTAGCATAATTACAGGCACCTCTTAGTAAGTTATAATATCATCAACAATTAAATTCTGTCAGTAATTTCAAAAAGTAAAAGATTTATATTATATGGATCTTTTATATTTTGCATAGCAATATCTATCAGTTTTATCTTTAACACATGTGGCTCAAACAATTGTTGTGAATGACTGTCACTGATTCCAAAGAGCAAATCAATTTTATGTCATACTGGCAATATTTTTCTAAGGTTTCCCTTAGAAAAAATTTTTTTTTAATTCTCAGTGAGATATTTTGTTAAATAAAATAAAAAATTAAATTAATTAAAAAGTAAAGTTAAGTGGAAGGAAAAACTGGCAGAAAAAACTGGCGATCACAGCCTGGAGAGGACTCTAATGCCAAGCCCATCCAAGAGTTCGGAGGAGAATCGTAAGATCTGAAGCGCAGATTGAGTCAGTGTTTCAAGAGCAAAAACACAGACATATCCAGGAAATGTGCTGAATTGGACTAAGGACAAAAAAAAAACAACAAGAATTTATCTTTTCAGATGAAAGTAAATTTTGTATTTAATTTGGAAATCAAAGCTCCCAGTCTGTAGGAGGGGAAAGCAGCAACTTGATCTTCCTTAGCAAATCAGCAAGTCCACATGCCTCATTGATGCAGTAATTCATGCTAAAAGAGCCCAGATAAAGTATTAACTCCATAAAGCACAGCAGATCAACACACTTTTCCCTTTTTAGCTGATATTTCTGTCTGTAAAATGTGTATTTTATTTTATTTTATAACTGAATTTGGGGATTTCATTCGCTGAAAGCTGAAATCATCAAGGTTCACAGGAAGAAAATGCTTGAAATGTGTTCGTGTCGTTTCCCATTCTGAATGACAGATTAAAGCAGTCAAAGACATCATTATGTATTGAAATGAAAATGTTAATCTCTGAAATAAAAGCATGTTTTATTAAACTAGATTTTGTTAGTAATAGTTGCTGTGTTTCTGTTGTGTTGTAACAGCGAGAAGACATTTGTCTGTATGTAAAGTTGGGCTGACGGCGTCCCCTCCTGTCTTTCTCTGTGTAGTTAACTGCATGCGTCCACGGTGCAGCGGCTTTGCTCTTTCCGATGTACTGGCAGCACATCTTCATCCCGGTTCTGCCTCCGCATCTTCTGGACTACTGCTGGTAAGCCTGACAACCTCTAAAGCACAAACACAATCATTATCAACTTAAAGAAAATGTTTCTGCTGAAATTGTTTTTTTGTCCTTCTTTTTCCACCCTCTCCTCTTTGCTGTCCGCGTCTGATGCTGGACCTCGGCACGCAGACGTATAGCCACACACACTGCGTCATGTGTGCAACAGTTATGCATCGGTTTTAGCCACTAAGATCTCCGTGTTAAAGCGTTGCCACACATGTTCACACGCTCTCCCACTCAGTCTTTGTGTTCTTGCGCGGACGCCTTCTCCAGCACGGCTCCGCACATAATGAACGGACCAGATCACCTTACTCTATATTTTATGGCAGCTCTTAGCAGCACGCTCTCATCATGGTCCGAACTCTCTCAGGGGTTCATTACCTCCCTTCCAACACAAATCCAACAAATCTGATTGGGCTTGATTGAAACTGAACGGAGAGCAGAAGTAGTGTCTACAAAATCTGCATGCTTTCAGGTCAACTTTTTATCAGTGCAGACGTAGCGTACATGTGTTGACGTCAGCATGGTTGAATGGGATTGCTTTTATGGTGCGGAGCGTTTCCAGGAGGGACGGATCATCTCAGTGAAACTATTCTTCACTGACAGGGAAATGTGATTTCCATCACTCTGCAAAGGCTCATCGTTACCTTATTAAATGACGGGGTGTCCTCCATTCCCTGATGCGATAACTAAATTACATTAGATGTTCTGTGTTCCTCTACATTACATCTGAAATTCTGTAAGTCAACGCTGGGCATCCAATAAACACGACAGGCCTGCATATTTATTTTTATTCTGTCACTTTAAAGTGATTACGAGCTTTGATTTATAAATCACTCTGACCAGAAACATGCTAAAGTAAAGGACTGTAGGAACATCCAAAAGGCCTCTTCTTCTTTTCTTTTTTTCAAACAAGGAAACTTTTTCATGATATTCTTACACAGGTAAGCGGTTTAAAGAGAAAAATGAAAAATTACAATGAAAGACGAAGTTTAAAGAATAATGGTGAAAGTAAACAAGAAACTGCGAAATGCAAAAGGCATTTTAGAAATGTGCTGACCTGAAAAAGCCAAGTTTGTTGAAAATCGTGTGTTTTCAGGGAGTTGTTTCCAGTGCTAAGAAACAAACAACTAGGTGCCACCCAGCGAGTTAAAATATTATTAAAAATGTATTTATGTAATCTAATTCAAAAATTTTAACTCATGCATAACTTATATCTTTTACACACAGAGTAACGTATTCCAATCTACTAGTTTTGAATATTACAGTTAATAAAAAACCCCAGATTGTGTTTCTTACAGAATAGGAATATTATTTATGCAACCTATAAAAATGTTTCAAACTGAAAAATATATTCATGTTCTGTACAGTGTATGTGCATATTTATGGTTTGGGCTCCTTTTGCTTGACTTCAGCTCTTATACACTGTTGGGTTCGGTGTCTCATCTTCCTCTTGTTAATTAGGTCAGATTAGCTTTGGTGGCCAGTCATACCGAAAGTTCCCATAGTTACGAAACCAGATATTGGTGCTTTTGACCGTTCTTGCAGGTGCCAAAACCTGCTGGAAAATGGACAGCGGTAACCATGACGAGCTTGAAAATGTGCTGATAGATCGCTGCTCCGACTTTGGGTTTGGGTAGACACAGTGGACCAACACAAGCCAACGATCATGGCTCAGAAAAATCATCATTGTGGAAACTTCACATCGATCTGAAATAACTCGTCATGTAGTCCTTGTCTTCAAATCTGAATCCACCAAATTATCGATTGGGCTTTGCTAAGTCCTCTCAAAACTACATTTAGCTGTGTTGTGCTCTTTTTTTCCACCGTATTTTTTCTTCAAACTAATTGCCTATTAGTATATTGGGATGCAGCTCTCTTGAGGCTGATCTTTTTTGTGAAGGGCAGCAGCGACTGTCTTGCACATACCTGTCAAGTCACTGTTATCTTAAAAATACATTTTTATTGGTCTAATATTCTAAGAAACTGAATGTCGTTTTTTTTAATCAACTTTAACAAAAATACTATTTTCTGAGCGTTACTTCTTTTCTTTTTGTTCTGATCCTGGAAACACTGAATGAAAAGATTGAACCTGAACAGCAACTCTGAGATCTATTCAGGGCCTTATCCCTTAATTACTTCATAAGCCAATCACTGTGCTTTAGATTTCAGAGAATCTTTAAGATAAGTATAATCACATTTAGTGATACGGTCAATTTTTTTAGTTAAAACATAAAAAAGAGAATCTCAGAAATACTTCTTGGTATACGATCAGTCATTTACCAGCTGTCTCTGAGGAGATTCAAGTTGCCTGATCAACTTTCGTTGCCGTCTACGTTCTTAAACTATTTTCTATTCACACATTAGTGACAGCAGTGTGTATTTTTCTGTAGAGGTAGGAAAAGGGAAATGGCATTTATTGCATCTGGATTCCATAAAAATAACTCCTCTGTTCTGAGGGCCTTGGATATAAAAAGGCTTGTTGCTGCCTGTGACATTATCATGTTATGACATCCTGATATAGAAAATAATCTGCACTTCAGATTATTTTTCAGGTCACGTTTAGTATTTTGTTCTGTGTTAAGTATTGGCTTAACATAAATCATCTTCATTTTTGAGGTCTTGTATCCAGTCTGGATTATCAGACATGTTTTTCTCACAAGTATGTATAAAAATGCACTAATCAATCACACAAAATAAAGACTGACTCAACAATATACTATAGAATCTGATTATTGTTTTCTTTTTAATTAAAATTGAACAGTTTTTATCTACAAAAACATTAACCAGCATGTAGTTAGAAAATGTTAATTATATCCTTTGAAGTATAAATGGGATTAATCTATTCTCCCCTTTTTTGTTGCATTAAAATCTGCTACCTCCATCAAAGAACCTGCAGTATATTCTGTTTTTATCTTTTATATATTATTGTCCTTAGCAAGAAAAATCGGACTTGGTCAAATGAAAAAGAAAACAGGAAATCGGTATGTGCCTGGAAAAATCCAGATCGGTGTGTCTCTTATTTATGAATTTTGGAGAAAAGCAACAGATCCATACAGTGAAGACGCTTCAATCTTTAGTTATTTAAATGTGTATAAAATGACTGAAAGGTAGATGCTATTTTCCAAATAAACGTTGCATCTGTATACACCACTAACAGATGTCTTGTACCTTCTACATCCTCAGTGCTCCGATGCCATACTTCGTGGGAGTTCACTATAGTCTGCTTGAGGTATGTTATCAAATCAGTTTATGCATGCATATGCTACAAATGTTAATGCAAAAACATCAAGATGCTTCATGAACGTCCTGCGTTTTGAAAACGGGGGTTGAAATGTGTAAACTGTGAAAACTGATTTTGATTATTCATTGCTAATCCATATGTTTTGTTGAACTTCGGTGTCGGAAACAAATGACGACTCAATTCTGAGTTTGTGTCGAATATTTAAGAGTTAATTCATCATGAATTAAACAATGCTACTTTTAAAAACCCCACTTTTTTACTTTTTCATTTTTTTTTTTTTTTTTTTTTTTTTTTTGTCTGTTTCTGCTCTGTCTACTGCTTGTGTGTGCCTTGGCTTCTGAACCAGAAGTACAGAAGGCAGAGACAGAAAGGCAGAAAAAGCATCTGCAAACAAAGAGCTTTTCTTCTTCATTGTTAAACCCTGTGTTGGTTGGGGAGCAGGCCGTCATCAGTGCGGCTGTTTCATGTGAACGCATGACGCAAGAGCGCACACATTTTTGCACTCGTGTGCGAGTGTTAGTTTCCAGGCGTGTGCGTGCGTGTGTAATTGCCTATAATGTTATGCACACGTGTGTTTCCGCGCATGCGTGTGTGTGTGTGTGTGTGTGTGTGTGTGTGTGTGTGTGTGTGTGTGTG